ATATACTAGGCATGTTGGACAATATACTAGGCATGTTGGACAATATACTAGGCATGTTGGACAATATACTAGGCACGTTGGACAATATACTAGGCATGTTGGACAATATACTAGGCATGTTGGACAATATACTAGGCATGTTGGACAATATACTAGGCATGTTGGACAATATACTAGGCATGTTGGACAATATACTAGGCATGTTGGACAATATACTAGGCATGTTGGACAATATACTAGGCACGTTGGACAATATACTAGGCATGTTGGACAATATACTAGGCATGTTGGACAATATACTAGGCATGTTGGACAATATACTAGGTATGTTGGACAATATACTAGGCATGTTGGACAATATACTAGGCATGTTGGACAATATACTAGGCATGTTGGACAATATACTAGACATGTTGGACAATATACTAGGTATGTTGGACAATAAACTAGGCATGTTGGACAATATACTAGGCATGTTGGACAATATACTAGGCATGTTGGACAATATACTAGGCATGTTGGACAATATACTAGGCACGTTGGACAATATACTTGGTATAGGCACGTTGGACAATATACTAGGCACGGTGGACAATATACTAGGCACGGTGGACAATATACTAGGCATGTTGGACAATATACTAGGCATGTTGGACAATATACTAGGTATGTTGGACAATATACTAGGCATGTTGGACAATATACTAGGCATGTTGGACAATATACTAGGCATGTTGGACAATATACTAGGCACGTTGGACAATATACTAGGCATGTTGGACAATATACTAGGCACGGTGGACAATATACTAGGCATGTTGGACAATATACTAGGCATGTTGGACAATATACTAGGCATGTTGGACAATATACTAGGCATGTTGGACAATATACTAGGCATGTTGGACAATATACTAGGCATGTTGGACAATATACTAGGCATGTTGGACAATATACTAGGCACGTTGGACAATATACTAGGCATGTTGGACAATATACTAGGCATGTTGGACAATATACTAGGTATGTTGGACAATATACTAGGCATGTTGGACAATATACTAGGCATGTTGGACAATATACTAGGCATGTTGGACAATATACTAGGCATGTTGGACAATATACTAGGCATGTTGGACAATATACTAGACATGTTGGACAATATACTAGGCATGTTGGACAATATACTAGGCATGTTGGACAATATACTAGGCATGTTGGACAATATACTAGGCACGGTGGACAATATACTAGGCATGTTGGACAATATACTAGGCACGGTGGACAATATACTAGGCATGTTGGACAATATACTAGGCATGTTGGACAATATACTAGGCATGTTGGACAATATACTAGGCATGTTGGACAATATACTAGGCATGTTGGACAATATACTAGGCATGTTGGACAATATACTAGGCATGTTGGACAATATACTAGGCATGTTGGACAATATACTAGGCATGTTGGACAATATACTAGGCATGTTGGACAATATACTAGGCATGTAGGACAATATACTAGGCATGTTGGACAATATACTAGGCATGTTGGACAATATACTAGGCATGTTGGACAATATACTAGGCATGTAGGACAATATACTAGGCATGTTGGACAATATACTAGGCATGTTGGACAATATACTAGGCACGGTGGACAATATACTAGGCATGTTGGACAATATACTAGGCACGGTGGACAATATACTAGGCATGTTGGACAATATACTAGGCATGTTGGACAATATACTAGGCACGGTGGACAATATACTAGGCATGTTGGACAATATACTAGGCATGTTGGACAATATACTAGGTATGTTGGACAATATACTAGGCATGTTGGACAATATACTAGGCACGGTGGACAATATACTAGGCATGTTGGACAACACATATTTCAAAATTATTAATCAATTGTACATTGGTGACAAATATTTTAATGTTTTATAGCAATCTGTTCTAAACCATTAACACAATGTTAATATTATATATATAATATTAACATTGAACATGTTATATATATATAATATATAACATTGTGTTAATATGTTTTAGAAGAGATTGCTATAAAACATTAAAATATTTGTCACCAATGTACAATTGATTAATAATTTTGAAATATGTGTTGTCCAACATGCCTAGTATATTGTCCACCGTGCCTAGTATATTGTCCAACATGCCTAGTATATTGTCCAACATACCTAGTATATTGTCCAACATGCCTAGTATATTGTCCAACATGCCTAGTATATTGTCCAACATGCCTAGTATATTGTCCACCGTGCCTAGTATATTGTCCAACATGCCTAGTATATTGTCCAACATACCTAGTATATTGTCCAACATGCCTAGTATATTGTCCAACATGCCTAGTATATTGTCCAACATGCCTAGTATATTGTCCACCGTGCCTAGTATATTGTCCAACATGCCTAGTATATTGTCCAACATACCTAGTATATTGTCCAACATGCCTAGTATATTGTCCAACATGCCTAGTATATTGTCCAACATGCCTAGTATATTGTCCAACATGTCTAGTATATTGTCCAACATGTCTAGTATATTGTCCAACATGCCTAGTATATTGTCCAACATGCCTAGTATATTGTCCAACATGCCTAGTATATTGTCCAACATGCCTAGTATATTGTCCAACATGCCTAGTATATTGTCCAACATGTCTAGTATATTGTCCAACATGTCTAGTATATTGTCCAACATGCCTAGTATATTGTCCAACATGCCTAGTATATTGTCCAACATGTCTAGTATATTGTCCAACATGTCTAGTATATTGTCCAACATGCCTAGTATATTGTCCAACATGCCTAGTATATTGTCCAACATGCCTAGTATATTGTCCAACATGCCTAGTATATTGTCCAACATGCCTAGTATATTGTCCAACATGCCTAGTATATTGTCCAACATGCCTAGTATATTGTCCAACATGTCTAGTATATTGTCCAACATGTCTAGTATATTGTCCAACATGCCTAGTATATTGTCCAACATGCCTAGTATATTGTCCAACATGCCTAGTATATTGTCCAACATGCCTAGTATATTGTCCAACATGCCTAGTATATTGTCCAACATGCCTAGTATATTGTCCAACATGCCTAGTATATTGTCCAACGTGCCTAGTATATTGTCCACCGTGCCTAGTATATTGTCCACCGTGCCAAGTATATTGTCCAACGTGCCAAGTATATTGTCCAACGTGCCAAGTATATTGTCCAACATACCAAGTATGTTGTCCAACATATCTAGTAACTGTTTTGCTAATATTGTAATTTGCAATAAAATAATGCTATGGAAATTCCTCATGCAAGAAATCAAATTCCAATTAAGTGTGTTTGTCAGCGTGTTTGGTGGACTTTGTCACTTAGCCCTCAGTCCTAACATCAAAGATCTCAAAGTAATATATTCATAATTAATATATATTAATAAACATTTGTCCTAAAGAATCTATAACGTCAACTTTAGAGTTTATCATTCATTATCTTTGTGGTCAGATATGGGGGGTAGAATGTCGACTAAGCAAGCTCAGGACTCCACTTAATTGTAATTGAACTTCTTGCATGTGGAATTTCAATTACATTTTTTTGGTTATTTTGAAAAATTTCAATATGAATGTTGTATGGTGTTTGTGGCATATGTTTAGCGGGTGTTTTTTGTCACTAATGTCAGGTTGGGTGGCATCTGTAGCCCATATTAATATTTGTTATGAAAGGAATTTAATATCGAATTAAATAGTATTGTTGAAGATAACTTTCTTATATATAATTAAGGATTATAAAATTACAGAAAAACATGAGATTTATATATTAACAATCCAGAATATCAATCTCTTTACGGTAGTACTTTGGAATTTAAGCTTATATATATAAGCTTGTAGATATATATCTATATATATATCTATATATATATCTATATATAGATATATATATATCGCCTCCCTGAAATTAGGTAAAAAAAAAACTAGTCCTTCTAATTCTTTTCTATTTATTTTAGATTTTCCGTTTTTAGTTATATAGTCTTTCAATTTGCAAGTATATAATAATAATATTGAGGCCAAAAGTATTATTTAGCCAAGCCGGTGGACCATCCCATGGCGGGTGACGTCCCTTACCCTGGCAATCACCGCTATTTTATCAACTTTCCCGGCTAATCTATAATAATTTGACGCCAAACTCAGATACATAGAGATGGTTTTATCATCTGTAGCTATATCTCATGTTATATCTATAGTTAGTTGCAATAAATGTAAGTTTAGTAGGGAAAATAGTTCACGTATAGGGGCCGAGTCGTTGGTCTGAGGCCGACCGACGTAGTCTCAGAGGGCCTTCAATATCTTTGCTTCTAAAGCTTGTTTTGCTCTAATCTAAGCGCTAATTTTGATGTTGGGAAAGATGATGGTCATCAAAATACATGCTGTGAGGAATTCACCTTTGGTTTAAAGTGTTCTCTTCATTAATAACGAAAGAAAAGAGACCTGACCTGTTCTATCAGTGAAGAGCTATGGCTGCAAGAGAGCCAAAGTGTGTTTCTTTATCCAAAATAAAACATTTATTACGCCTTTGTTTTGAAGGCCAGAGTGTTTTATTTTACGCACCGAGGAAGACAAATAATTCTTCTTTCAACACGTAACTAAATTATTTAAAGTGAATGTTGATTAAGAAAGATATAGCAACTTAAATAAGAATATATTGAGATTCAGATTCCAATACTCCTCACATTTACTACGATTTCTGCTAGATGGATGATCGCACCGGTATTTTCTTTACAGAAAATGCAAGCTTAATCTATGTACTTAATTTAGATACCAAAATAATACAAATGGGAAGTGTTTAACGCCTGTGATAATTGATGGAAGTAAGTTAACAAACACAAATGGCGGCGGAGAGCCAGCAACTTTGAACGAAAACGAGTGCGTGTGTTTACGCTGCTACTTTTGCGTCCGCACGCGGCGATATACCCAGGCGTCAGTACCGCAAAATTTATCATTCAGAGCCAGACTGAACACAGCCACGCACACCGCTCCTCTCCCGACTAAGGTCCTACTTCACCAGTACCATGGCTGACGCTGCTGCATCTCCCGCACCTGCCAAGAAGGCAACTAAGGCCAAGAAACCCGCCGTCAAGCCTACTCATCCCGCCTACGCCCTGATGATCGCCGCCGCCCTCAAGAGCCTCAAGGAACGAAGTGGTTCGTCTCGTCAGGCAATTCTGAAGTACATCGTCGCTAACTACAAGGTTGGGGATGAGAAGAAGGCTGGAGTCCGCCTCAAGCTGGCCCTCAAGAAGGGCGTGACCTCTGGTGCTCTCAAGCAGGTCAAGGGAGCTGGGGCATCCGGCTCCTTCAAGCTGGCCAAGGACGACGTCAAGCCCGTCGTCAAGAAACCCGCTGTGAAGAAGGCCGCCGTCAAGAAGCCCGCAGCCAAGAAAGCCGCCGTCAAGAAGCCCGCAGCCAAGAAAGCCGCCGCGAAGAAGCCCGCTGCCAAGAAGGTGGTGAAGAAACCCGCCGTCAAGAAGGCTGCCAAGAAACCCGCCGCCAAGAAGGCTGCGAAAAAGCCCGCCGCCAAGAAGCCCTCTCCCAAGAAGGCTGCCAAGAAGCCCGCCAAGAAGTGAACTTGACCGCAGTACAAAGCTGTATAGACTTAAGGGCATCTCTAGGTGCGACATGTATGCTTCTGTAAGAAGTGTTAATATTAAGTAAATTTTTTATATTGTACCTGAAGTTCTCATATACAAGATATCTCTGTGTGTAAATAGATAATATTATATATATATAGATTTTTATACTGTCTTTGGTGTCTCCTTTACACTATCAAACACAAACACTTGACTGAAAGAATAATAGTTATACATTGATTGGAAAATATTAAATATGACTGAAAAATTTCCAATGATAAAGATAAATGAAATTAAAACTTATATCTAATAGAATACTTTGAATTAATACATTAATTGCTAAGTTCTTTAATATGACTGAGAAAAAATCAAATCTTAAAGATATATTAAATTAAAACTTAAGAAAACTTTAAAATACATATCTGCAAAGGACTTTGAAATGAGAAATTCTCTTGAAAGAACTTATAAAACTTTAACAAACTTGTAACTATTTTACAAGCAACTTAACAGCAAAACATAAGTATTTGATGATTGAAAAATATATTTAAAATGTTTATATGTGATACTAAAGCTTGGTAACTGATAAGCTAATGGGGAAATAATTTGTTTCACTGAATGTCTGGGATATTAATGATTGGAATATATAAATAAGTGGAGATATTAATTAACTTTCAATATAGTTTAAGTTATCCACAAGTGCTAGTTAATGTCTGGTTAAATTAGTTAAATATTTTCCTTATAAATAATATTAGATTGCCACACGGAAGGTACACGACTGAAAGAGAAAGTTTAATACTGACAACCTCGCGGAAATGTCAGCCTTGGACAGATCCTGAACCTGTCATTTACCTCGCTGAAGCTATATTTTGGAAGACAACTTAGCTGATCTTGTAGTAATATATTTGAAGATACTTATATATAAGTGCTTGAGACCCTGGCAACGAATATAGCTCACACCAGTACTTATATACGGCAGGTACTTGTCAGAGTAAGAGGTGCTCTAAATCATTTTTTTACTAAATTTCTTAAAAGCAGATCAAAATGTGTTGATAAGCTTCCGTAAGTCCTTTTCCTACACAACCTTCCCGGCTTGTGCCTTCTTTTGATAATTACTTACCGGAAGTCCTTGAAATTCATAGACTAATTTTCCCAGATTATAAGTATTAATTTAACATATTTTACGGCAAAATACTCTTCAAGGTGTCCTTATTTTCATGTTATTTGAACTTAATAGAAGAATATTTAGTTATATATTAACTAAATAAGAATAAGAATATTTAGTGTGCCAAGTTACCTTCAGGGCCTGTGATGATTAAACGAATATTATGTAGTATGTTGCACACCCTAGATCACTGTGTACTAGTGTGTCACACCCTAGATCACTGTGTACTAGTGTGCCACACCCTAGATCACTGTGTACAAGTGTGTCACACCCTAGATCACTGTGTACAAGTGTGCCACACCCTAGACCACAGTGTACAAGTGTGCCACACTCTAGATCACTGTGTACAAGTGTGCCACGCCCTAGATCACTGTGTACAAGTGTGCCACACCCTAGATCACTGTGTACAAGTGTGTCACACCCTAGATCACTGTGTACAAGTGTGCCACACCCTAGATCACTGTGTACTAGTGTGCCACACCCTAGATAACTGTGTACTAGTGTGTCACACCCTAGATCACTGTGTACAAGTGTGCCACACCCTAGACCACTGTGTACTAGTGTGTAGTGTGCCACACCCTAGATCACTGTGTACTAGTGTGTCACACCCTAGATCACTGTGTACAAGTGTGTCTCACCCTAGATCACTGTGTACAAGTGTGCCACACCCTAGACCTCTGTGTACTAGTGTGTAGTGTGCCACACCCTAGATCACTGTGTACTAGTGTGTCACACCCTAGATCACTGTACAAGTGTGCCACACCCTAGACCACTGTGTACTAGTGTGTCACACCCTAGATCACTGTGTATTAGTGTGTCACACCCTAGATCACTGTGTACAAGTGTGCCACACCCTAGACCACTGTGTACTTGTGTTTAGTGTGCCACAACCTAGATCACTGTGTACTAGTGTGCCACACCCTAGATCACTGTGTACAACTGTGTCACACCCTAGATCACTGTGTACAAGTGTGTCACACCCTAGACCACTGTGTACTAGTGTTTAGTGTGCCACAACCTAGATCACTGTGTACAAGTGTGCCACACCCTAGATCACTGTGTACAACTGTGTCACACCCTAGATCACTGTGTACAACTGTGTCACACCCTAGATCACTGTGTACAAGTGTGTCACACCCTAGATCACTGTGTACAAGTGTCACACCCTAGATCACTGTGTACTAGCGTGTCACACCCTAGATCACTGTGTACAAGTGTGTCACACCCTAGATCACTGTGTACTAGTGTGCCACACCCTAGATCACTGTGTACTAGTGTGCCACACCCTAGATCACTGTGTACTAGTGTGCCACACCCTAGATCACTGTGTACTAGTGTGCCACACCCTAGATCACTGTGTACTAGTGTGCCACACCCTAGATCACTGTGTACAAGTGTGTCACACCCTATATCACTGTGTACTAGTGTGCCACACCCTAGATCATTGTGTACAAGTGTGCCACACCCTAGATCACTGTGTACAAGTGTGTCACACCCTAGATCACTGTGTACTAGTGTGTCACACCCTAGATCACTGTGTACTAGTGTGTCACACCCTAGATCATTGTGTACAAGTGTGCCACACCCTAGACCACTGTGTACTAGTGTGTCACACCCTAGATCACTGTGTATTAGTGTGTCACACCCTAGATCACTGTGTACAAGTGTGCCACACCCTAGACCACTGTGTACTAGTGTTTAGTGTGCCAAAACCTAGATCACTGTGTACTAGTGTGCCACACCCTAGATCACTGTGTACAACTGTGTCACACCCTAGATAACTGTGTACAAGTGTGTCACACCCTAGACCACTGTGTACTAGTGTTTAGTGTGCCACAACCTAGATCACTGTGTACAAGTGTGCCACACCCTAGATCACTGTGTACAACTGTGTCACACCCTAGATCACTGTGTACAAGTGTGTCACACCCTAGATCACTGTGTACAAGTGTCACACACCCTAGATCACTGTGTACAAGTGTGTCACACCCTAGACCACTGTGTACTAGTGTTTAGTGTGCCACAACCTAGATCACTGTGTACAAGTGTGCCACACCCTAGATCACTGTGTACAACTGTGTCACACCCTAGATCACTGTGTACAACTGTGTCACACCCTAGATCACTGTGTACAAGTGTGTCACACCCTAGATCACTGTGTACAAGTGTCACACCCTAGATCACTGTGTACTAGCGTGTCACACCCTAGATCACTGTGTACAAGTGTGTCACACCCTAGATCACTGTGTACTAGTGTGCCACACCCTAGATCACTGTGTACTAGTGTGCCACACCCTAGATCACTGTGTACTAGTGTGCCACACCCTAGATCACTGTGTACTAGTGTGCCACACCCTAGATCACTGTGTACTAGTGTGCCACACCCTAGATCACTGTGTACAAGTGTGTCACACCCTATATCACTGTGTACTAGTGTGCCACACCCTAGATCATTGTGTACAAGTGTGCCACACCCTAGATCACTGTGTACAAGTGTGTCACACCCTAGATCACTGTGTACTAGTGTGTCACACCCTAGATCACTGTGTACTAGTGTGTCACACCCTAGATCATTGTGTTCAAGTGTGCCACACCCTAGACCACTGTGTACTAGTGTGTCACACCCTAGATCACTGTGTATTAGTGTGTCACACCCTAGATCACTGTGTACAAGTGTGCCACACCCTAGACCACTGTGTACTAGTGTTTAGTGTGCCAAAACCTAGATCACTGTGTACTAGTGTGCCACACCCTAGATCACTGTGTACAACTGTGTCACACCCTAGATAACTGTGTACAAGTGTGTCACACCCTAGACCACTGTGTACTAGTGTTTAGTGTGCCACAACCTAGATCACTGTGTACAAGTGTGCCACACCCTAGATCACTGTGTACAACTGTGTCACACCCTAGATCACTGTGTACAAGTGTGTCACACCCTAGATCACTGTGTACAAGTGTCACACACCCTAGATCACTGTGTACAAGTGTGTCACACCCTAGAACACTGTGTACTAGTGTTTAGTGTGCCACAACCTAGATCACTGTGTACAAGTGTGCCACACCCTAGATCACTGTGTACAAGTGTGACACACCCTAGATCACTGTGTACAACTGTGTCACACCCTAGATCACTGTGTACAAGTGTGTCACACCCTAGATCACTGTGTACAAGTGTGTCACACCCTAGATCACTGTGTACAAGTGTGACACACCCTAGATCACTGTGCACAAGTGTGTCACACCCTAGATCACTGTGTACAAGTGTGCCACACCCTAGATCACTGTGTACTAGTGTGTCACACCCTAGATCACTGTGTACTAGTGTGTCACACCCTAGATCACTGTGTACAAGTGTGCCACACCCTAGATCACTGTGTACTAGTGTGCCACACCCTAGATCACTGTGTACAAGTGTGTCACACCCTAGATCACTGTGTACTAGTGTGTCACACCCTAGATCACTGTGTACTAGTGTGTAGTGTGCCACACCCTAGATCACTGTGTACTAGTGTGTCACACCCTAGATCACTGTGTACTAGTATGTCACACCCTAGATCACTGTGTACTAGTGTGCCACACCCTAGATCACTGTGTACTAGTGTGCCACACCCTAGATCACTGTATACAAGTGTGTCACACCCCAGATCACTGTGTACTAGTGTGCCACACCCTAGATCACTGTGTACTAGTGTCACACCCTAGATCAATGTGTACTAGTGTGCCACACCCTAGATCACTGTGTACTAGTGTGCCACACCCTAGATCACTGTGTACAAGTGTGTCACACCCTAGATCACTGTGTACTAGTGTGTAGTGTGCCACACCCTAGATCACTGTGTACATGTGTGTCACACCCTAGATCACTGTGTACTAGTGTGTAGTGTGTCACACCCTAGATCACTGTGTACAAGTGTGTCACACCCTAGATCACTGTGTACTAGTGTGTCACACCCTAGATCACTGTGTACTAGTGTGTCACACCCTAGATCACTGTGTACTAGTG